CACTTTTCTTCCCCTGGTTCAGACCCCTTCCCTTTGCTTAATAACTCTAAAACTCCGAAATTCCAGTTGCCTCTGAATATCCATTCCTCTCATTAAAACAGGTATGTGAGCATCCATAGAATGTAAACCTTGAATCTGAGCTGAATTAAGATTTATGCTTAAAGGTTTCCCTAAACCTAGACAAGACCAGCAAAAAAATCATAAAAGAATTTAGAATTCTTCTGGTTATATATGACCCAGGGTTACCTAACATCTATCGACTTGTACACATGTTGGTCAGAAACCCAGGTGCTAAATCCTGGAGGGAAAAAGCTGATTGGACAGACCCAGAAAGGAACCCACAGTATCCCTCTTTCCACAGTAAATCTGAAAGTTAAAAAAAAAAATGTCCAGAAAGTAAGGCAAAGTCTCCTAAAAGCCATACCCAAAACATTTGTAATAAAAATCCATTGGACCATGCAAACAAAGAAAACAAAACTAACAGACTTTTTCAGGATAGATTAGAAAGTACCTTCCACCGGGCGCGGTGGCTCACGCCTGTAATCCCAGCACTTTGGGAGGCTGAGGCGGGTGGATCACGAGGTCAAGAGATCGAGACCATCCTGGTCAACATGGTGAAACCCCGTCTCTACTAAAAACACACAAAATTAGCTGGGCATGGTGGCACGTGCCTGTAGTCCTAGCTACTCAGGAGGCTGAGGCAGGAGAATTGCCTGAACCCAGGAGGCGGAGGTTGCGGTGAGCCGAGATCGCGCCATTGCGCTCCAGCCTGGGTAACAAGAGCGAGACTCCGTCTCAGAAAAAAAAAAAAAAAAAAAAGAAAGTACCTTCCAACACATCAGTAAAAGAAGGTGGTAAAAAGCAGCCTTTCATCTCATTTTGTCAAGTGAGCTAAACATGAAATTGGAGACTTCATTCTAAAACAGAAATTAGAATGGAAAACAGCTGCTTTATCTGAATAGTAACACCTGGCAGAGCATTTTGAAAGGGCTTTAGAATCAAAATCAGACAGAATTCAAAATAAACTTGTGGCCCACTTCCCAGTCTACTGCCTGTTGACAAGGACGCTTAACAAATATTTTAAACAGAACCAAGACAAATAAAAATCCATCAGTTCAAATCAAGGAGGGTGCTCAGAGGAAGGAGAAACTACCCAATACTCAGCCTTTCTCTAAACACTCACGGTGATTTAACTATAAATACAGGTGGTCAACCTCATCAATTTCTGGTAAACATGGTGCTACTCTTTCTATGTTAAACCCTGTCCCTTTTGTTCAATCTCTTCTTCTGAGTAAACAGATCACACAGGTGGTATTTCAAATAACCCACATATAACCCACATATTTATTCCAGCTCCCAGCCCTTAACTGTAACCCTTGGGTTGACTGAAAAAACTTTCCTTCCTGCTCTTTGATACCATGACTACAAATTTAACAGAGACTTAATTTGCAAATGGAATTGTAATATTTATTGATGTTCCAGAGACTTCTCTATACATAATCAAGTTGCACCTGCTCTGAATTTACCTTTGCTTTCTCTATGATGTGTGATGCATACTCAAAATAAATATCTTGACATCAAACCTGACAGTCTGAGGGGCTAAAAATTCCACTTACATAGGACAAATAATTGGAGCAGCAAAATAATAAGCAGAACTTACTAAATTCAGACAGATCCTGTGAAACCATTACCCAGACTTCCCCAATATCCACTGAAGTCAGAAGCAAAGGAAGGGCTCGAACCTATAGTTGAAGGTCTTATATCCAAATGTCCATTCATATCCCCTTGTAACACTCCTGCCCTGCCAGCAAAGAAACCAAGTGGATGAAGATACTGATTTGTTTAAGACTTTAGAACCATCAAGAAAATTGTATTTTTTTCCCCAGTGGTACCTAACTCTCACACCATCTTGCATCAGTTCTACCTGAAGTCACTTGCTTTACTGTAGTCGAAATTTTCTCTGCCTTTTTCAGTGCACCTCTAGACAACGACAGTCAATACTTTTCTGCCTTTGTCTTGGGGAAGACAACGGTATCACTGGACAGTCATGCTCCAGAGATTCAGTGAAGATCCTGTTTTTGTCCAGGTGCTCAACCAAGAGTTAAAAGATATGAATTTCCCTTGTAATTCAGTTCTGATACAATATAAAAATGATCTCCTACTTTGTTCAGAGAACAAGGAAGCCTGTTAAAAGGATTCCATTTACTTGTTTTCAGCCTTAGCAGAAAAAGGACATAATTTTTTTTCTTTTTTTTTTTGCTTTTTTTATTACACTTTAGGTTTGGGGGTACATGTGAAGAACATGCTTGATTGTTGCATAGGTCCACACATGGCAGTGTGATTTGCTGCCTTCCTTCCCCTCACCTGTATCTGTCATTTCTCCCCATGCTGTCTCTCCCCACCTCCCCACCCCCTGCTGTCCCTCCCCCATTTCCCCCCAACGGACCCCAGTGTGTAGTGCTCCCCTCCCCTGTGTCCCTGTGTTCTCATTGTTCAACACCCGCCTATGAGTGAGAACATGCGGTGTTTGATTTTCTGTTCTTGTGTCAGTTTGCTGAGAATGATTGGTTTCCAGGTTCATCCATGTCCCTACAAAGGACATGAACTCATCGTTTTTGATGGCTGTGTAATATTCCATGGTGTATATGTACCACATTTTCCCTGTCCAGTCTGTCATCGATGGGCATTTGGGTTGGTTCCAGGTCTTTGCTATTGTAAACAGTGCTGCAATGAACATTCGTGTGCATGTGTCCTTATAGTAGAATGATTAATAATCCTTTGGATATATACCCAGTAATGGGATCACTGGGTCAAATGGGATTTCTATTTTTAGGTCATTGAGGAATCGCCACACTGTCTTCCACAATGGTTGAACTAATTTACACTCCCAGCAACGGTGTAAAAATGTTCCTATTTCTCCACATCCTCTCCAACATCTGTTGTCTCCTGATTTTTTAATGATCGCCATTCTAACTGGTGTGAGATGGTATCTCAATGTAGTTTTGATTTGCATTTCTCTAATGACCAGTGACGATGAGCATTTTTTCATATGTTTGTTGGCCTCCTGTATGTCTTCTTTTGGAAAGTGTCTGTTCATATCCTTTGCCCACTTTTGAATGGGCTTGTTTGTTTTTTTTCTTGTAGATCTGTTTTAGTTCTTTGTAAATTCTGGATATCAGCCCCTTGTCAGATGGGTAGACTGCAAAAATTTTTTCCCATTCTGTTGGTTGCTGATTCACTCTAATGACTGTTTCTTTTGCCATGCAGAAGCTGTGGAGTTTGATCAGGAGGGACATAAAACTTTTAAAGCTAAATTACAGTTTTACCAAAACACAATTCATTGTTTGGGGTAAACCTGTCTAAGGAGGGATAAGTATTTTCTCCTGATAGACTAAAGATCATCCAAAGTTATTGTCAATCCCTCACAAAAAGGCAGAAGAGAGGATTTCGAGGTTTACCTAGTATATTGCAGACAACAGGTGCCAAAGTTTTCTGAAATCGAAGCAACTCTTTATGGATTGACTAGGTCTTCAATGAGGGATTCTCTCCTTTGAAAGTCGAAACATAAAGACCGCCTGGAACCTGAAATAAGTTCTTCAACAGCCTCCTTCCCAAAGCACCCCAACTGTAGAAAGCCACTTTGTCTATTTGTGCAAGAGAGATCTGGGCAAGCCCTTGGGACTTCAACTTCATGGAAACCATTAAAACCCCATTATTTACCATCGCCTCGCTCTTGACCCGTTTCAAAGGCTTATTTCTCTTGTTTTAAGGCATTTGCTGTCACTGCAAAACTAGATGATGCTTCTGACAAACTAGCTCTAGGCTCTCTCCCCGCTTGACCTCATGATTTCTCATGCAGCACAGATGTTACTTTTTTTTTTTTTTTAGATGGAGTCTTGCTCTGTCACCCAGGCTGGAGTGCTGTGGCACAATCTCGGCTCACTGCAAGCTCTGCCTCCAAGGTTCAAGTGATTCTCCTGCCTCAGCCTCCTGAGTAGCTGGGACTACAGATGCACACCACCACACCCTGCTAATTTTTGTATTTTTAGTAGAAACAGGGTTTTATCCATGTTGCCAGGCTGGTCTCAAAGTCATGACCTCAGGTGATCCTCCCACCTCAGACTCCTAAAGTGTTGGGATTACAGGCGTGAGCCACTCTGCCCAGCCTGCACAGACATTACTATTGACTAAGAACACATAACACTTTTCAGCCAGCAAGCTAACCTCCTGTGAGTTTCTGTTACTCTCTTCCTCTCACATGACTGTTCATCAAAAACACTCAGAATCCTGCTTCTCTCCTGCCCCTACCAGAGGAAGGGGAACCACGATAATTTAACCATGATAATCTTAACATGGTTAGATAACTTTCTGTCTCTGGCTCAGATTAATTGAGGATTAATTAGTCCTCTCATTGAGGATGCTGACCTAATATTATTTGTTGATGTATTATAACTCAAAACTGAAACTGGAAGTTATCAAGCAGGATATGTTATCACTAACTTAAGTTCTTTTTCTAAAAAACATTCCAATTCTTTTTATTTATTAATATTATTTTAACCTTAATTTTAGTTTCAGGGGTACATGTGCCAGTTTTATAGGTAAATGGTGTGTTGCAGGGGTTTGGAGTACAGAGTATTTCCTCACTCCAGTAATGAGCTTAGTATTCCATAGGTAGTTTTTCGATCCTTACCTTCCTCCCAACCTCCACGCTCAAGTAGGCGCCCCCACGTCTGTCGTTCCCTTCTTTGTGTACATAGGTATTCGCTGTTTAGCTCCCGCTTATAAGTGAGAACATCCAGTATTTGGTTTTCTCTTCCTGTGTTAGTTTGCTTAGGATCATGGCCTTCAGCTCCATCCGTGTTCCTGCAAAAGACATAATTTCATCCTTTTTTATGGCTGCATAGTATTCCATGGTGTATATGTACCACATTTTCTTTATGCAGTTACTGTTAACGGGTATTTAGGTCCTGTTCTAACGGTTCCATCTTTCTGTTTTCCAGGAGAACATTTGAGGATAGGAATAGGCCAAGTCCTGAGAAGATGAGTCTTAGGATTGATTCGGATACAAACTTTCCTGAGTGTGTTGTAGATGCAGGAAAAGTCACCCTTGGGACTCAGCAGAGGCAGGAGATGGACCCTCGCCTGCGGGAGAAACAGAATGAAATCATCCTGCAAGCACTGTGTGCTCTGCTGAATTCTGGTGGGGGTGTAATCAAGGCTGAGATTGAAAACAAAGGCTACAATTATGAGACTCATGGAGAAGGACTGGATGTGCCTCCAATTTTCAGAAGCTATTTAGATGCAATGCAGAAGGAAAACTACTTTTTGATGTTTGTGAAATCATGGAACACAGAGGCTGGCGTGCCACTTGCTACCTTATGCTCCAATTTGTACCACAGACAGGGAACATCCACTGATGTCATGGATTCTCAGGAAGCTCTGGCATTCCTCAAAAGGAGAACTCAGACTCCTATGAATATTAATGTTTCCAATTCATTAAGTCCACAGGCAGCTCAGGGCAGTTTACAATATGAAGGTAACATAAATGTCTCAGCTGCTACTTTATTTGATAGAAAGCGGCTTCAGTACCTGGAAAAACTCAACTTTCCTGAGTCTACACGTGTTGAATTTGTGATGTTCTCAACAGATGCGTCACACTGTGTTAAAGACAGACTTCCGAAGTGTGTTTCTGCATTTGCAAATACTGAAGGAGGATGGGTATTTTTTGGTGTGCACGATGCGACTTGTCAAGTGATTGGATGTGAAAAAGAGAAGATAGACCTTACCAGCTTGAGGACTTCTATCGATAGCTGTATTAAGAAGCTACCTGTCCATCATTTCTGCACACAGAGGCCTGAGATACAATATGTCGTTAACTTCCTTGAAGTACATGATAAGGGGGCCCTCCGTGGATATGTCTGTGCAATCAAGGTGGAGCGATTCTGCTGTGCAGTGTTTGCCAAAGTACCTAGTTCCTGGCAGGTGAAAGACAACCGTGTGAGACAATTGCTCACAAGAGAATGGACTGCTTGGATGATGAAAGCCGACCCAGGTCAGGGAGCAAGATGAACAATGGTTGTAATGTTTGCTGGCAGCAGGGCAGGGCGGGGCGGAGAGGAAAGAGAGGTATGGTATTCCTTGGAATCTGGGGAAAGATTTAGTCTCTGAGTTGCAAATATCTGACTTACTAATTCCTGTAGATGCAGTTCGTGGATTATTGCCCCTTCCTTTCTTTTACCATCTTAAATAGCCTTTATTCAACAGATGCCCTGGCTAGTAGCCCCATTGGTGCAGGAGGCTGTTTGACCTAGTTATTTCAATTTTCACTTTTCTTATGTTCATGTTCAAGCCTCTTCTCTTATTTTTCAATTATGAGCTTGCATTTAAGTATTTAGGAAATTTCTTTTTTTCACATATACAGATGTGTCCCCTTTAACTTGCTGTCATTTTCCTCTGAATTTCCCTTCTTAAATATTCTCCCTTTCTCGCTGCCCACTTCCATTTTTTGAACCAAAACATGACCAAATCATGGCTTTCCCTCTCCTTTCTCACTTTTCCTTTGGGGAGCCAGTACATGATAAGCCAAAGAAAACAGTTGGTGACATGCATCCACCCTGGAAAAGGAAAGCCTGTGATAAAATTAAACAAGAGAAAACCAATGGTAATGTCTTCAACAGTCCAGAAAAAGTCCCATTCAGAATTTGCTCAGATATCTATATCCATTGGCCTTTGCGTCTTCTCATCATATTTCTTTAAAAAATAGCATTCTAAAAATATAAAAATAGGCTGGGTGTGGTGGCTCATGCCTGTAATCCCAGCACTTTGAGAGGCAGAGACCTGCCTGAGGTCAGGAGTTCAAGACCAGCCTGGCCAACATGGTGAAACTCTTTCTCTACCTAAAATACAAAAAATTAGCTGAGTGTGTTGCAGTGAGCTGAGATCATGCCACTGCACTGCAGCCTGGGCAACAGGGATGAGACTGTCTCAAAAAAATAAATAAATAGTTTTGTTTTGACATAATAAAATTTAAAAGTGCTGCTTCATGCTAGGTTATATATATATATATATATATATATATTTTTTTTTTTGAGACGGAGTTTTTGCTCTTGTTACCCAGGCTGGAGTGCAATGGCGCGATCTTGGCTCACCGCAACCTCCGCCTCCTGGGTTCAGGCAATTCTCCTGCCTCAGCCTCCTGAATAGCTGGGATTACAGGCACGAGCCACCATGCCCAGCTAATTTTTTTGTATTTTTAGTAGAGACGGGGTTTCACCGTGTTGACCAGGATGGTCTCGATCTCTTGACCTCGTGATCCACCTGCCTCGGCCTCCCAAAGTGCTGGGATTACAGGCTTGAGCCACCGCGCCCGGCTAGGTTATATTTTTTAGGCTTTCTTGAGCTGAACTGAGATGTAAAGGCAAGTATCTGTGGGCCGAGGCTTGAGTTGTAAGACTAGGTGAAAGATTTCGCAGCATCGCTCAGCTCTAAGTTGGGGTCTGCCGTTTTGCATATTGAATCGTTCATTCTTGTTTCCTAAGATCTTTCCAGGTGTCCTGAGATGGTCCTTGCGCTGAGTTTGTCATCTGCCACACCCCTCAGCAGCACTGTGTGCATTCATAAGAATTTGGAAGGTCTGAAAGAGCAGCAGAAACACTACTTTCCAGGTAATTAGCCATCTCTGATTGCTTTGGAATATGCTGATTGTTCATTCATATAAAAAATGGACTCCTACTTTATAATATACACAGGATCAATTCCAGAGGCTTGAGGACTTAAATATGAGAATCAAACCTTTAAAACTTTTAGTAGAAAATGTATATAAATAATTATGCCATTGGGGTAGGGAAGGATTTCCTAAACCAGATGCAAAAGGATCAAACTTAAACAAAAAGATTGATAAATTTCGCTACGTTAAAATTAAGAACTGTTCTCAAAATATACCTTAAAGAAAGTGAAAAGACTGGGCATAGTGCTCATATGAGTAATTCCAGCACTTTGGGAGCGTGAGGTGTGGAACTGCTTAAGTCCAGTAGTTTGAGACAAGCCTGGGCAACATAGCAAGACTCATCTACAAAGGAGCAGCACTCTACTATACCCAGCTGCTTTTTTAACTTTTGTAGAGACAGAGTCTTCCTGTGTTGCCCAGGTTGGTTTCAAACTCCTGGATTCAAGCAATCCTTCTACCTGAGCTTCCCAAAGTGCTGGGGTTACAGGCATAAGCCACCACTCCCAGCTACCTGCCCTTTTTTTTTTTTTTTTTTTTTTTTTTTTTTTTTTTTTTTGAGATGGAGTTTTGCTCTTGTTGCCCAGGCTGGAGTGCAATGATGTAACCTTGGCTCATTGCAACCTCTGCCTCCCAGGTTCAAGTGATTCTTCTGCCTTAGCCTCCTGGGTAGCTGGGATTAGAGGTGCACCCACCACGCCCAGCTAATTTTCTGTATTTTTAGTAGAGATGGGGTTTCACCATGTTGGCCAAGCTGGTCTTGAACTGCTGACATCAGGTGACACACCTGCCTCAGCCTCCCAAAGTGTTGGGATTATGGGCATGAACCACCGTATCCAGCCCAGTCATTTTTTTAATGGACTCTTAGATGATGTCTAATTTTTTCCTTTTAAGACAATGCTACAGTATACATCTTCCTACACATCCTACCTGAGGTGTTCTTTAAGGATAAATTCCAAGTAGTAATAATTGCTTGTAAATTTAGATGGATATTACCAGATTGTAATCCAAAACATATACCGAAATACACTTTCACCAACATGGTATTATCATGTCATTTCTTTTCTGGAAGAAGCTTAGAATCCTTTTTTCCTACCAAAAAGAAAAAAGGTGGCTGGGTGAGGTGGCTCACACTGCAATCTCAGCACTCTAAGAGACTGAGGTGGGAGGATCACTTGTGCCCAGGAGTTTAAGACCAGCCTGGGCAACATGCTGAAACCCTATCTCTACGAAAAAAAAATTTAAAAATTAGTTGGATATGGTGGCGTGCACTTGTAGTCCCAGCTACCTAGAAAGCTGAGGTGAGAAAATCACCTGAGCTCAGGAAGTAGAGGCTGCAGTGAGCTATGGTTGTACCATTGTACTCCAGCTTAGGTGACAGAGCAAGACCCCATCTAACAATAACAACAAAAAAGTCTCCTTCATGCTGTCCCTTTTTAGTCAAACTCTCCCCAAATCCCTAACCTCTGGCATCCATTGATCTGTTGCCTGTACCTACAGCTGTGCTTTACAGAATGTCGTGTAAGTGAAACCACATAGTACGTAACCTTGCCAGGTGTTAAGATGGCACTCTCATGCCTTGTTTCCACTGCTTTGCCTCTCACTTTGGTTGTCAGCAACACAAACTGCTTGGAGTGACCTGAATCGACTTTGCTTTTTTTTTTTTTTTTTTTTTTTTTTTGAGACAGGGTCTCACTGTGTTCCCCAGGCTAGAGCGCAGTGGTGTGACCTCAGCTCACCGCAACCTCAGCCTCCTGGGTTCAAGCAATTCTCGTGCCTTAGCCCCCTGAGTAGCTGGGATTACAGGCACACACCACCATGCCCGGCTAATTTTTGTATTATGTGTAGAGATGGGATTTCACCATGTTGGCCAGGCTGATCTTAAACTCCTGGGCTTAAGTGATCTGCCCGCCTCGGCCTCCCAGAGCGCTGGGATTACAGGCGTGAGCCACCATGCCCGGCTTCCTTGCTAGTTCTTGTCCCTGAGTGTTACTCAAGTGTCTTCTTTTGACCATCTCTCTATTCTCCTCTTCAACTCCCTAATTCCAAGTCATCCTTTAAAAACAGCTCAGGGTTGAGTGTGGTGGCTCACACCTGTAATCCCAGCACTTTGGGAGGCTGAAAAGAGAGAATCACTTGAGGCCAGGAGTTCGAAACCAACCTGGCCCACATGGTGAAACCCCATCTCTACAAATAATATAAGAATTAGCGCCGGGCGCGGTGGCTCAAACCTGTAATCCCAGCACTTTGGGAGGCCGAGGCGGGTGGATCACGAGGTCAAGAGATCGAGACCATCCTCGTCAACATGGTGAAACCCCGTCTCTACTAAAAGTGCAAAAAATTAGCTGGACATGGTGGCGCGTGGCTATAATCCCAGCTACTCAGGAGGCTGAGGCAGGAGAATTGCCTGAGCCCAGGAGGCGGAGGTTGCGGTGAGCCGAGATCGCGCCATTGCACTCCAGCCTGGGTAACAAGAGCGAAACTCCGTCTCAAAAAAAAACAAAAAAAAAACAAAAAAAAAAAGAATTAGCCAGGTGTGGTGGTGCACGCCTGTAGTCCCAGGTACTCGAAAGGCTAAGGCAGGCGAATCACTTGAACCCAGGAGACAGAGGTTGCAGTGAGCTGAGATTGCGCCACTGTTCTCCTGCCTGCACGACAGAGCAAAACTGTCTCATAAAAACAAAAACAACAACAACAACAAAAACAAGAATCAGCTCAAGTGTTCCCTTCTTCATAAAGACTTTCATATTTTCTTCTTTCCTAAACTGTACCTTTCCTTGGTATTCACATAATACTTTGTGCCCTTCTCTCCGGTTGTATTGACCACTTTGTACCATAATTATTGTTGTCTCTGTTTATACCAGCTAATAAACGCTCCAAAAAATAAGAATCGTTTATCTTTTTATTACTAATGTATAACCTATTGTAGATACATGGTAGGGTACCAATGTTGATTGAATCTTCTACATATAATGATGATTACTAGTTTGTCTGAGGATTTTCTAATTTATTCCAATTCTTTCCCTGTCTAGTATTTTCAGACAGAGTGGTGTATACTCCAGAAAGCCTCTACAGGGAGCTCTTCTCACAACATAAAGGACTCAGAGACTTAATAAATACAGAAATGCGCCCTTTTGCTCAAGGAATATTGATTTTTTCTCGAAGTTGGGCTGTGGACTTAGGTCTGAAAGAGAAGCAGGGGGTCATCTGTGATGCTCTTCTAATTTCCCAGAACAACACCCCTATTCTCTATACCATCTTCAGCGAGTGGGATGCAGGGTGCAAGGGCTATTCTATGATAGTTGCCTATTCTTTGAAGCAGAGGCTGGTGAACATAGGTGGTTACACTGGGAGATTATGCATCACTCCCTTGGTCTGTGTGCTGAATTCTGATAGAAGCTCACAAGGTGTTTACAGTTCATATTTACAAATTTACCCTGAATCCTATAATTTCATGACCCCCGGGCACATGGAAGCCCTGTTACAGTCCCTCGTGATAGTCTTGCTTGGGTTCAAATCCTTCTTAAGTGAACAGCTGGGCTCTGAGGTTTTGAACCTACTGACAGATAAACAGTATCAATTGCTTTCAAAGAACCTTCGCAAGGCCAGAGAGTTGTTTGTTCATGGCTTACCTGGATCAGGGAAGACTATCTTGGCTCTTAGGATCATGGAGAAGATCAAGAATGTGTTTCACTGTGAACCGGAAAACATTCTCTACATCTGTGAAAACCAGCCCCTGAGGAAGCTGGTGAGGTACGTTGCCTGTCTTTTCTTGAGTGACTGTGGCTGGTGTGGCTTTTGTTTTACTTGCTAAAATTCATATGTATTTACCATGCCCAGAGGAGTTTAAGAGTAGAATTGGCTTTGTTTGTTTCATCAGGGAAAACCTGATTGTGTTCCTTACAGTTGCAGCACAAAGAAGATCTGCCAGGCAGTGACCCGGAAAACCTTCATGAAAAACGGCTTTGAACACATCCAGCACATTGTCATTGATGAAGCTCAGAATTTCCGCACTGAAGATGGGGACTGGTATTCGAAGGCCAAGTTCATCACTCAGACAGCAAGGGATGGCCCAGGAATTCTCTGGATCTTTCTGGACTACTTTCAGACCAATCACTTGAGTTGCAGTGGCCTCCCCCCTCCCTCCGAGCAGTTTCCAAGAGAAGAGATCACCAGAGTGGTCCGCAATGCAGATCCAATAGCCAGTTACCTACAACAGGTAATGCAGGAAGTCAGAGAAAACCCTCCACCTAACCTCCCCCCCGGGGCCCTGGTGATGCACCATGAACCTAAGTGGGCTGAAGGTGTCCCAGGCAACTTAGAGATTATTGAAGACTTGAGCTTGGAGGAGATCCTGATTTACGTAGCAGAGAAGTGCCGTTTTCTCTTCAGGAATGGTTATTCTCCCAAGGATATTGCTGTGCTTTTCAGCAAAGCAGGTGAAGTGGAAAAATATAAAGACAAGCTTCTAACAGCAATGAGGAAGAGAAAAATGTCTCAGCTCAATGAGGAATCTGATCCGTTCCTGCAGATCGGGGACGCATCGGATATTCTGGCCGATCACATTGTGTTGGACAATATCCGTCGATTTTCAGGCCTGGAAAGAAACATCGTGTTCGGAATCAATCCAGGAGTAGCCCAACCGGCTGGGGTCTACAATCTTCTGCTCTGTTTGGCTTCTAGGGCAAAAAGACATCTGTACATTCTGAAGTCTCCTATGTGATAGGAGAACCCCAGCCTGAGAAACAATTAAGTGGTTCTCATCTCTAATCAAATCATTTGATCCAAACATGTAAGCACACACTCGCTTATTAAGTCACATATTCTTCTAGGTGCTGGGGATTGAGGACGAATCAATGTAAGGTTTCTCCTTTTGGGCAGAGACAGACCACTGACAAGTACACAGATAGACAAGCGGTTTCCCATAGTAAAGAATATCAGTAATTAGAGGACCCTGAGACTCAGAGAGATGTGTGTGTGTGTGTGTGTGTGTGTGTGTGTGTGTGTGGGCAGATGGAGGGATGGGGTGGTTATTTTGAGTGGTCAGGGAAGTGCTCAGGGAGCGAAGAACTTGTCATGAAAATATCTGAGTGTGCCAGGCAGGCTCGGATGTCTTTGTTATTTTTAACATGGCCATGTGCAGAAAAGCTTAAACGGGACGTGCAAGCAGAATGTGAAGGATGGAGCGGGTAGCTCATCTGGCCTTGTAGGGGCCAGGAACGGGCAAGACATGTTTTGAAATGTAAGATCACAGGCTGTTTTTTGCAAGACCACATTAGGTCACTTTATTATTTTCTGCTTTTGCTTTTAATGGCATTAGATGGTTTTTGATCACTATATTTTAAGATACTTTCTGTGTGCCTTTTGGTTATTTGGAATCTGCTCCTTAGCTCTGCTTTTTTATCCTTCTGGAGTATCATAGGTTACTACAAGAAAGAAAGACTGCCACAGTCCCCCAGTGAGGCACACTGTGTGTTATTGACTGATTTTAAGATGACAGAGGACCTAGGAGGACGAGTGTATTGGACTTGAAGGTTACATTTTGTTTTTTCATCTAATTTAATAATCAACAAAATGACAAAGTCAGTTGAATACCTTACTTCTGCTAAGTCTTCAGGATTTTAGCTAGTCTTTCAAAAGCCATCGCTACAATGGTGCAAATTTCTCATTTCCTGTGAGTCTCTAGAAATTCTCTCAATATTGAAAGCCAACAAATCCATCTTTTTTGAGGGACAAAAACTAAAAAATTCAAAGAGTTAATTCTCTATTCAAAACAGCAAGACCCTGCTATTTCCCAAGAATAAAGAAGTTTAAAATTCTCATTGTAAGAAGTATGAACTTGAGGCTAGAATTGGTTTATTTCTGGCAGCTACTTACAATATTAAGAACTTTACTCTTTAAGACAATCTCACAGGAAAGCATGAAATTAATCTATTGTGAAATGTTGTTATGACTAATTTGAATTATACTGCAAATCACTAGTAAGTAGAGATATATTTAAGATAAAATGATTAATATAACAAGTGGTAATTCTGAATAAAGATCAGAATAAATCCACATTACAGACTCTCCCTTTACCAATATGTAAAAGAGTGTGCAAAATTAGTAAAAATATAGCCCCAAATTTACCGGCAACAGAGAAGCAAAGAATGGAGTTTTAACCTTACACTCTAAACATCTAACAGATATGTATGAAAATTTAAAAAATAGAATAGGTTGGGCATGGTGGCTCATGCTTATAATTCCAGGACTTTAGGAGGCCAAGGTGGGAGGATTATTTGAGCCTAGGAGTTCAAAACCAGCTTGGGCAACATAGTGAGACCCTAGCTCTCAAAAATAAATAAATAAATTTAGCTGGGCATGATGGTGAACACCTGGAGTCCCATCTATTCAGAAGGCTGAGGCAGGAAGATCACTTGAGCTCAGGAGTCTGAGGTTACAGTGACCTGTGATCCGACCAGCGCACTCCAGCCTGGGTGACAGAGCAAGCCCCTGTCTCTAAAAAAAATAAATAAATAAAATAAAAAATAGAATGTAAAAGTTCTATATAAAGGCATAGCTACTATCTCATCTGCCCAGTGTAGTCATGAATAGCTGTCACATAAAGAAAAGAAAACCAGAATTCTTGTGAATATGACCAATTTGAAGGGTGGTGGCAGAGGTGTTGAGCAGGCAGCTCAGGGAAACACCAGGTAGACCCTATAGCATAGAAGTCCCTGACTGTCCCCAAGGACTCTCTGTAGATACAGGAGGGATTTTCCAGAATTTCATATGAATTCAACCAAGGGGGCTGTGTCTTATTCCTGCATGCTTTGCCTCCTTCATGGAATTCAGCGGATTTAATGGAATTTCCTAGGCAGTAATCAAGAGTAGAAACCAGGTTAACAGTGAGGGCCTCATCTCACACCAAATCAAAATCAGGCTACAGAAAAGTAGATGGAAGACACTACCCAGGCCTCCAGCTATACAATGGAGAGGAAGCCAGACAAGTCTGTTTCTCTAAGAAAGTTGTCAAAGAGAGCCCTTCTATGCCATCTTAAAGTAAAAAGAAAGACTCTTCTCAGCCACCTTGATTAAGCATTAGAAAGATAAGTGGTCTGATCATTAGGCAGAAAGACAACAGGGAAAAAATATCAAAAATAAACATGGTACAAACCAGATGAAGAATCCATCCTGGAAGGATATATAATTCAGGGGGCAAAAGACAACTCACCATAGGTCGGGTGCCGTGGCACACTTTGGGAGCCTCCCAGCACTTTGGGAGGCCAAGGCAGGTGTATCACCTGAAGTCAGGAGTTTGAGACCAGCCTGGCCAACATGGTGAAACCCTGTCTCTACTAAAAATGCAAAAATTAGTTGGGTATGATAGTGCACACCTGTAATACCAGGTACTTGGGAGGCTGAGGCATGAGACTTGTTTGAACTCAGAAGGCAGAAGTTATAGTGAGCCAAGATCGCACCATTGCTCTCCAGCCTGGGTGACAAAGTGAGATCCTGTCTCAAAAAAACAAACAAAACCTCCCTGTAGATGTCCATGCCATAGAAGAATTTGGAAAGTCTATAAATTCAATAAAGCAAGAGTTGAAAGCCTGTCCCACTGTATCCGAGTTTTCCTCTCTGAATTGCGGACTAGGAACTCCAGGGCACTAAGCTGGGGCAGCCACAGAGCTGACCTCATCGTTTTCCACATCCTACATTACGACAGGGATCAGGGATCAGTATCCTTCGCTGACTGATTTCCAGTATCTTGAGGCCTGTTGTTTCACATATTTTGTCTGATTTTGCAGTTGTTTCAGAAGGGAAGATAAATATGGTCCCTGTTCCTCTATCTTGACCACAAGCATCTAAGAAGACAGTGAAGCAGTATGTGTATAGTTCTTAAGGAAATAAATTCTGACCTAAAAATATTAAACTTAGTCAAAATATTATTCTAGTTCAAAGGCAACACATGGGTATTTTTGAACGTAAAAGAGTCCTAGAAATACAGGACTCATGAATCATTCTTGAAGAAAAGTTACACAGTAAGGAAATCTAGATAAGCAAAAATATGTGAAAATAAAATTTTCTTATAATTGGACCAAAATTAAGTTTAAATCCATTCATATATATATAATTAAGATATGTAGGAATCATAATTATGGAAAAGAATGTTACAAACCTTCACAAAGTAAAGATATTTTTATATCAGGTAGATTCTTCTGTTTCAATCTATAAAACCAGGGTTTGGATCATTAAAAAAAACAAATAAAAGTAATTTATTGAAATCATTAGAGAGGACCCGATAGAATAAAAGGACAAACTGACCAAATAGGCTTTAGAGGGGAGAGGTGCCTGAGAAGTTACAAGGACCTAGCTGGCAGGGGTGACTTGACCATAGTCATTTTTTTTTTTTTTTTTTTTTTTTTTTTTGAGACGGGGTTTCGCTCTTGTTACCCAGGCTGGAGTGCAATGGCATGATCTCAGCTTACCGCAAACTCCGCCCCCTGGGTTCAAGCAATTCTCCTGCCTCAGCCTCCCTAGTAGCTAGGACTACAGGCGTGCGCCACCATGCCCAGCTAATTTTTGTATTTTTGGTAGAGACGGGGTTTCACCATGTTGACCAGGATGGTCTCGATCTCTTGACCTCGTGATCCACCCGCCTCGGCCTCCCAAAGTGCTGGGATTACAGGCTTGAGCCACCGCGCCCGGCCATTTTTTTTACTTGATTTAAGAAGGGTTAAGTGAGAGACTTTCACTTGCTTAATTTGCATACTCAACTCTTCTCTAGCATAGGGCAGGTTCCTTGGTTGAATAATTTCCACAAAACATGATGTAAAGTGGAAAGACCAGTTCCCCCAGAGAATATCAGTTACCAAAATAGAATGAAAGGATGTTGGGTAGATCAAAACAACAGATGTCCATTATAGCAATTAACTAAAGTTGGGGAGTGGGAAAGTTTGAGTGCCAATATGTATTTCAAGAAAACTTTAAAAAATGGCTCCAAACATTTTATGCTTTTTGCAATTTAATCATTTTAATATCAGAAAAATCTTCCTGTAACTAAAAGTTCTTGAGTTGAAGAAACACTTTCTGTAGTTCAGCTCTTCCTTCAATTTGATTAGTTACTTTTTCTTTAGTTCGAGCAAAATAAATTTAAAGATAATTTTAAAATAGTATGTATCATATCATTCCATTTAACATAATTCGATCTAGCTGTTCCTATGTTTTCTCTGCTATATTTTAAAGCTTTCTGGAATATGATTAACCTTGAATATTTCTAGTTGATGAACTTATGAGTGATTTGTTGTTTCCTTTTCTCTTTCAGTATTGCTAGAATTAATTTGATTGACTTTGCACCTTTGTATAAAGATCTTGAAGGTCACATGCTGAAATCACCCTCTATTAAAACAATCTTGTAGAAATAATAGAGAATTTTTAAAAACATTGCCATATACATAGCCATCCTCACAAACAAGAAAAGCACCTCTCCATGGATTAAAACCTATGAGGCTTTCGTCCCTACAGGTAGGGAAGAGCTAGGTAAACTGCAGCATACACTGAGGCTGGCACCACCACAGGCCAGGACACCTATTGTCACAAAGCCGGGACAGAATCTCCCAACCAGAAAGTGTTGCCCTGAGGCTGAGGCCAAATCCATTTTGCTCTCAGTTAACCAGACCAAAGCCTAAAACTAAAATACCCATGCTTCAGGGTTTGGTGGTGTTGACATTGATGGCATTTTGAGCTGGACAGTCCTTTACTGTGAGAGGCTTCCCTACACACTAGGATGTTTGGCAGCATCCTTGGCCCTACTCCCTAGGGGCCAGTAGCAAATCCGCCAGCCTCCTTCCCCTGCGCCAGGGTTGGTTGTCAGTTGTGACAACCAAAAATATCTCCAGACATTGCCAAATGTCCCTTGGGTGGGCAAAATCACCACCACCATACTTTTTTTGACTAAAAGAGTTTCCAGAATAGTAGCAGAATATATAAGTCAAGCATAACACATTATAGTCAAGATTCAGAACATCAAAGATTCTTTTTCACTCCTAAAGGAAAAAAGTTTAGAAAATCTACAAAAAGAATAGTGAATTTGACAATAACTATTTCACTAGCAAGATTAGAGGTAAGCAGAATACAGGCAGCAACATTGAACTTAGACTTCTCTCCCCAAACTATCATTCAAAGTAGAGGGCAAAATAAATAGATTTTCTGACTGGAACAAGTAGGAATAATGTACTCATATTATTCATCTTCATATAGGGATGGGCTATAAGTGATTTTTAAAAAAACTTCCTATTTGTCCCAAGTGAGAAAACCTATTCATAGAGGGATGGGTTATTAACAAGTGTATAAGAATAATGTACTCTAGCAAGAAAAAAAATGAACTGAGAAGAAAGTAGTGGTTTTGAGAAGGAAAGGTGAACAAATAAATTAGTGAAACATAAGGTTAAGTCTATACATATTATGTTCTAATTGCCTAGTATGTCAGACTATACATCTAGTTAGAAAATAATGATGAAAGAAAAAGCCATATTGTAATTCCAACAAAAAGATAAAATAATTAAGAATAACTGCAACAAGAAAGTATAAGCTCTTCAGGAATAAAACTATACAACGAAACTAAAGAGCACAAATAAGAACTTAGATAAAAAGCAGACCACGTTTTTTGATAAGAAGATTAAAAATTATAAATATATCAATTTTCACTAAGTTAATCTGTAAATTCAGTGTGATCCCAATAAAAATACCAACAGATTTTCCCCAATAGCATTGAAATGATTTTAAAAGCATGGTGGCTCAAGCCTGTAATCCCAGTACTTTGGGAGGCCAAGACAGGTGGGTTGCCTGAGTCCAGGAGTTTGAGATCAGCCTGGGCAACATGGTGAAATCCTGTCTCTACTAAAGATGCAAAAAATTAGCTGGGTATGGGGGTGCACACCTGTAGTCCTAGCTACTTGGGAGGCTGAGGTGAGAGAATCACCCGAGCCTGGGGAGGTCGAGGCTGTAGTGAGCCCAGATCACATTACTGCACTGCAGTCTGGGCAGCCAGAGTGAGAGCCGGTCTTGAAAAAAAAAAAAAAATTATTGGAAATTAGAAGGCAAGAATATACAGCAAAAATCTAGAAAAGAAGAAATGTGAGTGAGTTAGTAAGAACAAATATTTAAAAATCTTAAAATGATATAATAATTGAAGCAATGTGGTGCTGATGTGTGGAGGGTCAATGACACAAGATAGAATGACCAAAAATAAATTTGAAATGCATGTTGAAGGGCATTAACAGCATAGGTTAAAAGTGGCATTCAAATTAATTGGGGAAAGATGGATTATTCAATATATGATGAACAACTTGGGTACCTAGCTAAAAAAAAAAAAAAAAAGAAAAAAAGAAAAGAAAAAAAACGTAAGCATGGGCCATATGTCAGACTTGATGCGAAGAGGCATCAAGGAGGACCAAGTGTTTAAAAGTGAAAATATGGAATCATCGTAGTGCATGAAGAAAAAGTAGGACTTAAAAAATAATAAACTCAGCAC